CCTGCTACCGCAGCTGTGACCGCTGTCGGACGGTGTTTCGAAGCCGTCGTCGCTGTTCACGCTTCACAGGTAAGTGTATAAGCGGGGCAGCTGGGTGATACAGCTAATCCTTTGTGTTCACACCTGCAAGAGCAGGTGTGAACCGATTTCGGTCTTAGCCGTCGGTATGCCAATAGCGCGCTAGCCAAGTAGTACGCAGTTGGGTTCCGAGGGTGTCCCATCACAAGTTCGGCTACAGACAGACGAGATTGTCCCTTTGTCGACAGCACCCGCCTTTGGACGGTGCTCTGACTAGCTTTGATACTATATTTTTGTCTTTTTGGTTCGCTGTTCACAGACCTTGTTATTGAGAAGGAAATACGTCCTATGGCGCTTTGCGCTGGTCTATGAGAGGTTGAGGTGCGAGCCCTGGAGGCCCTGGGGATGGGGGGAGACTACCCGCGGGCCTAGAAGGCCCGCGCGGAGGGTTGGGGCAAATGTAGATTTCCTGCCCACAGCGTAAGGATATTTCTTTCATTTCTTTCTTCTTTATTTCGTGCCCCGCCACGGCAAATTTGCGAGAAATTTCTTCGCCCCGTCACTCCATGCTCAAGTTTCGCCCCTTTCCGTGTAAGGTGTCCCCCTTACACAAGGTGTCCCCCATGTTGGACCAGGCACCGTGCGGGCCTGCCGTGCCTTGCTTGAGCCGGCAGGCCCGCGCGGCAGTGATGGTGCGCCTCCGCGGAGAGGCTGACGCTGGTCATCGGTCAGCGGTCAGCGGTCATCGGTCACCGGTCAAGCAGGTCATCGGGCGTCAGTGTCATTCAGGCGTCAGTGTCATTCGCGTCAACACAGGTATGGTAAATTTCCGGAAATTTCTCCTTCCGAACAAGGCTGTCATATTTCTCAAAATATTTCGGGAAATCTACATTTGCCCCAAGCGGAGGGGGGTGGGACATTGATATTGAAGGCGGAGGTGGAGGCGGCGGAGGCTCGGCGAGCACGGCTGGGAGCGGCAGAGGATTCAGGTATCGGTGCAAGCACTGATCTGAGAAGAGGGGTGGCTTTGGTTGGTCACGATCGGGACGGATGACACGTCTGATGCAGACATGCGGTCACCCTCGATTCCTGTTTGTTGAATGTTGAAGCCCTCTTCGATGCAGTCGCAGGAGTGATAACCCATCGAGGTGGGAGCCGCCTGCGGCATACTGAATCCTCCACCGGTGACACGAGCCGACTCGTCCCGCTCCTCGAGCGGCTCGTTCACCTTCCCAGCCACGCCCTGCACAGCAGCATGGCCATCCTCCTCCTCCTCCTCCTCGCTGTACATGTTGTAGTCGTCGCCACGGCGCTCGAAGCGGCAGTAGAGCTCCGCTTCCTCTGCTTCCTCTGCTATCTGCTGCGCCAGCACTGCCTCCCACTCAGGGTCGGCAGCAGAGCCAGCATCGCTTTGAGCAGAGCAGCGCATTGCCACGTCCTCGTCGCAGAGCTCCACCGCGGCGAGTGACAGTGGCGATCGACGTGCCAGCGGCGCGGCTGGCAACGTCAGCAGCGAGGCCGCCAGCATCGCCGCCGCGCGCCGTTCGGCCATGTCGGGCGTGTCTACGACATCCGACCTGCTTTTTCGAAAAACACAACCCCGGACCCAAGACGCTGTTCACAGAAAAACACAAACCCGGACCCAAGACGCACAAGCACAGATAGTCGAGAAGGGAGAGACAGCAATGACAGTCAGAAGTCAGCGCTGTTCACATAAAGCCTTAAAAAGAGCACAATCCATGCACAGAACTAATTTTGGAGTAACTTTCCTGCGCAAGGTACAATTCTTTTCTGGGCGCTTAGGCGGCTCCCGTGTGGTGTACCTGAGAGAGATTATTCGCAATACCAAACAACTCACAAACATCAACACTCACAAATCATTTGTTTGTTGTTACCTGTGTGTGTTAGTGCTGCAAGTGCGCGCCAGTCCCGTGCCTCGTGTGCTGTTTGAAATTCTTTTCTGGGGGGCAGCCTCACACACAAAGCGCCTGCTCTACTATCGCATACCACCCTCTCCACACTTTCCACTGATCCATGCCCGTAATAGCACCATGACTGCCGCCGTCCTAGTTTTCTAAGTGAGGACACTGGACAGGCACAAGAGAGAGAGAGCTTTTGTGG